TGCGGGCTTGGTACCAATGTCTGGAAGCCCAACCTGATCACCGTGTATCCTATGTTCTGAGCCGCTTTGATGGCATCGGGGATGAAGCCTTGATCTGTAGCACCAACTGTAAGACGAGTCAGTAGAGCCTTGTGGTCGGGCATGAAATGCCTTACGAGTCCATGAATTGGCACCCGCAAACGAGTATGGTTTCCCATTCAGCTCAAATTGTAGCCCGTTTGTAGTCACAAATTGGGCATTTGCAAAAGTAAGTAGGGCTAGAGATGTAGCCAAACAAGCAAGTTTGTTGATGTGGGAGAGCATGGTTAGGCAGAAGTGAGGCCGGTGTTGTTGAAGAATGGTGGACAGAAGAGTTGTTCAAGAAGCAAGTCCTGGTGAGAAATGGGGACAGTCGCAGGTAAAGAGGGTGATCCAGCAAGACAGCAGGATGCTTCAAAGAGTGTGGGAAGCGTGTAAGACGAGCTTGCCATGCAGTACTGGAAGAGCATGTACATTGATAGAGCATCGCCGAGCATCCGTCATTTTGCACACCTCCAACAGGAAGGCCGACGTAAGCGCCTGCCGTTTCTTGAGAGGGGAGATTAAGGGTCTTGACCAGATCCCGAGAGATCCTTCACGATGATGAAATCTTTGAGTCGTGAGAATGTTCTAGCTGCCGCCGCAATCTCGTAGTGGTAAGTAGTATACTCCTATCTCACGGGATATATGAGCTAGCGATGGACGATGGACAGCATCCCACACTTGATGAGGACGGGTACCAGGCCCTAGCTTACCGCCGCCCGGTAGGATATAAAACTTTAACCCCTGATGTTTAAGATATCCATCATGCATGGTGACGGTTCAGACCAATGAGAAGGAGAATCGGAACGGGACTCAACGGACAGGTGCGGCGCAAGGGTGCCGAAGCAGCAGCGGCCATGGGTCTGACAAACAAGGATGCGGCACAGATAGGCAAGCAAGAAAGCTTCCTGAATTGCATATTGTGCATGTAGCATCCATTGAAAATCCCAAATACAGACGACCAAGCCGGCGAGGTTCTTATGGAGCCGAGGACTGCTGGTCGATCAGAGATAGGTATTATACGTGTAAAAGTCCGAGTAAGAGGCAGAGACCGACAAACTCTGTCCAAGTCAGGCCGAGGTTCCATTGAGATCCAAAATCATTAGATGCTACCTAGAGCGGAACGAGTTGAGGGCGAGTCTTAATGTTGTATGTACCTTGTAATAAGTGTTGGTTGGGAAGAGAAGCGAGACGGCGAAACATGAGACACGGCTGAGGTCCCAAATACCACCTTCCCCTGGCGTTAAAATCCTCCACCCAGGATTCCAGATTGACACCGCTCATGAGTATAATCTCCGCCAGTACTGCTCATAATGTATGGCTGAGACATTCCCAGACACCTTGAAGGCCAGAAAGCGCTCATCCGTTATTTTGGTTTCTTTTTACCTGCGAGTCATGTACATACTCACGAGTACACCCTACCATCTTTTATCGCCCCCACTAATGTTGGCCGTCGAAGCTATGACCATCAGAATGCAGATGCAAGCAGCCAATCATGGGAGCTGCCTTGATGCAACTTCTCGAGGGAGCGTCCATCTCCGCGTGTTGACAGCTTGACGGTAAATGGTTGGATGATTTGCACGAATTCTGATGACTGTGAGAGATGGAGAACAAATGATTGGATTGTCCTCTGTCTAAAAGTACTCTAGCCTAACCCCTTTTGGATTCAAGATCCTGAGCCGAGGCTTGTCGAAACCATCTCTCCTTCCTTAAATCAATCATGCACAGCGCCGATAATGCAAGGAAACCACCGAATCACTCCGGACGAACTCGAAACAAGCAGGCCAACGCCGAGTGCCCCAATAATGGATCACAGAGAAAGCGAAAAGGCATTCGGAACCTTCCGACCATCTCACTTGCAATGGTCACACATATCATCCAGCGATGTGTACAGAAATTGCCGGCTTCCCCCTCCCGCCCTTTTGTCGTTGATCTTCATGTCCACCGGCATCTTAAACATGCTCTGGCACATGTCCTCACAATACCCCTGCACCTCCTCAAACTCTGTCTGCACCCTGCCTTGCTGGCCTGGCGACTCCATCTTCCGATGCTGCCTATTGAACTTCAACTCCATCTCGTCCATGCCGTAAAAATCCGTGTCCACACCAAAGCATACTCTGTCAAATTTGGGATGAGGAGACGGATCTGGCACATCAGGAGCGTATGCCCCAGGATCGCAGTCTTGCACGCAACTAACCATGTGCTGGGCGATGGGCTCCGCTCGCTTCCCTCTCCTGGTACTCCGCTTCGAATTCGCTTGCCGTACCTTTTCCTCCTCTGTCCGCGGAAAATCCTTGCATACGTAGCGCTTCTGCATGAGCCAATCGTTATTGTCCCCACCAACGTTAGGTCTGTTGCATTGATCTCCTTCCGTGTGCGCCCGAGATAGGCACATGTGGTCGACAATAAAGGTGGCGTTGGAGTGGTAGTTGTAGTATTCATGTTGGAAGATATGGGCTTTTTCGTACTGCCACTTCTCTTTGGCGTGGATGGGTGAATGGCAGTAGCATAACGTTGATGTGAGCCAGTCGCCGGTGGGTTCGGGGTAGAGATCTTCGAGGTTGCTAATGAACCCAAGGCCTTTTCCATTTGGTGGAACTTGGGCAGGAGCCACAGCCAGGGAAATGGACGGAAGGAGTGTAAGAGCGGTGAGGAAGGTTTGAAGGAGTGGCATGGTGGTGTTTGATATTGCAAGTGGGCTTGATGTCTGCTATCTGTGAGATAAGTCGGTCTTGCGTGGATTGGTGAATGGAAAGAAGTGTTAGGTGATGGAGACATTTAGAAGCCTTTTATCTCCGAAGACGATAATGCATTTTTCGGACACATACTATGCCAAGGTAAGTTGTTGTAAAAGTCAGTGCAGTTTCCAGTCACGAGCAAATGCATTATATGAAGGTTTAGTGCTAGTATCTTTCTTGGTGCACTTGAATGAGATACTTTGAGAGAATTTGACAAGAAACACCAGCTTGCACCAGAAATCAGGTCTTGGATATAGCTGACCAAGATATTGACTTCATCACACTGCAGCTTTTCGATATCATCTATAGACATCGTTTGTAGGCGTATGCTTGATGAATTGGTTCATCCTACAGGACAAGATGACACAGCGCGGGGCCTTCCAAGATAGCAGGCCAGTAGGTGGTACGAGGTGACATCGACTGAAGAACAACCTTCAAAATTTGGGAGAATGGACCATAGAGGTAGAGACTCTGAGCCTCGCTTAATGCCCAGAAGCGGAGGAGAATCACCCTCCTAATGGCCTGGATTGGAAAGCCTACTTGAGGTAAACGAACTGAACTGATAGATGAGTGGTGCATTACTTCTTTATGAATAACGATCAAGTCATGGACGGGTTCAAGGGAGTTGACTTTAGACGTAGAATTGCAACAAGTGTAGACCGGAGAGATGAGGGAGGTTTGGAGGATGGTGGCGAATGTATCCTGCACCAACCCAAGATCGTTAGGCTGGGTCGCAATAGAGACAACATCAACTCTGTCCGTGCGCGCTTTCCTCCCTATTTACTCTTGCCATCACCTCATTACCATGACATGAGTGTCTTTCACTGACCCAGTATTGACTGTGCACTCTCTCAAGATGTCCTCTGCTTGTGTAAAACTGAATGCCCACATCCTAAACACCAGTGTACTCCCCTGGACTTGCTCATCATGACCTCATACCAGTGTACCCTCTCTCAAACATCCTTCTCATTTGGCATTTAGTTGCACAGTGGTTGCATCCTCCTCCACCGGCGGACTGTAAAGGTTTGAGCCCCATCGGTTTTCCGTTGATGCTATACCAAACAAATCCGTATGCAGTAGTCCTTGCAAACAAAGAAGCCCAGGCTCTCATGCTTGCACAATATCTCAGTCAATATCTGCTTATTTAAAGTGGTTGCAACCGTTTCCAAGCTCTTCTGTGCCCCTTCTTTGCTTCTGGGAAACCTTGCATCTGTCTGTTCGCCCCGAGGGCTGCCCACTGTGGGTTGTGCAACATGTATTGGGACGCTGTTTATTCGCTCAAAGGATCCATTGATCAAAGAGTTTCTTACACTGATGTATCTGAAAAGGGAAGGCTCATTGCATCAAGAGCTCTTTGCGTTTTCTGGGCGGCCTCTTGATGTGGTCGAGGAGATTGGCTGAAAGCATAGCCGCCAAATGCTGACCTGACAGGGCCGGAAGAATCAGCTGATGCCAGGCAGAGGACTGGTGAGATTCAGTTGAGATGCACTTGAGGAGGTGAAAGTGTTTCATGTTACCGTCTCTCTGACGGCGAAAAGCGGTGGTGGACTGTGACATCCGACTTCATCTTGCATGCTGATCAAGACTTTGTGCTTTCCCCTCCCAAAGTCCCGCTGCCAAATCCAGTCCTGATGGAAAAGCCCGGTAGCGAAAGCCTGTGCTATGGAGAAAGCCAAGGCAGAAAAGGCAGTGTTAAAGGCTAACAGCTCTTCAAAAGATCAATCGAAACGGCTGGCAAATGAGATCATGGTTGACAATGATGAGGTCGCAGGCCTAGCGATTCGTCGACTAATGACGCGTGCAGCCTCAGTGGTACTAGAAGAGAAGTGGGCAAGTGCCGGTGAAGGGGGCGAGCTTGATTGTCTCCCGTGTCTTTGGTGGGTAAGATGATATGGATTTGGGTTTTGCGTACATTGTGTAGAAAGGTTTGAAACTGCCGGTTGACTTGACCGCTTCCGCTAAGATTATCCAGGTATCAGGCACTGTCCCTGCCAAGAGTTTTTGATAGACGAAATACCGGCTCTAGTCTTCATCGTGACAACACCACAGGGACAACAAACGCGAAAAGTTCTTCCCGCTTATTATTACCTACCATCCTCGTCGTTCATAAGGTTCTTTCGCATTGCTGTGCTCGGAATCAAGATGGATCAACCCAGCCAAAGGCCTCGGCTCGTCCATGCTCGCGGAGGACTTTCCGATATCATGGTTCGAGCGAATATAGCACTCAGCAGTGGCAGACCAGAACAGGCCATCCGCCACTATACGGAAGTCCTGTACAAGCTATCACCCGCTCATGTGTGCGCCTTCCTTAACCGTAGCATGGCATACATAGAGGAGAGGTACTACGAGCTTGCTGTGGTGGACGCCTATCGTGCTTGCATCGCAACGAGCGAATTGGGGAAGGTACGTGTTTCAACAGTGATTACTCCTCAATCATGACCCCAACCTGAATCGTGAGGAATGGTTTGTCCTCTGAGCCTTGTCTCTTAACGCCACTATCTGTCCTGAAATGGGCTATCTTCCTTCCTTCTGATTCCCATACTTGTTTGAGTCTGTTGAAGAAACACGCTGATTCCCAACTTCCATTAGAATACTTTGATTGGAAACGAGCGCCTAAGCAAAGTAGGCAAGTATATCAGGGCAGAGCGGCTGCATGTTAACGCAAACCACAAATGGACGAGGCCACCACATCGCAACATTGGAAACGGTTGGGCGAGGAGTCCCCTGGCCAGTATTGTCGTCAATGCTACCCCAGAGGTCACTGTCCCCAATGGAGCGCAAATACGGCCATTTGGGACATCCAAAATACCACTTGTCAGAGCTTTGGATATCCGCGCTGCCTATCGACTATGCGGCGCTCTCTTTATGATTGGAGGTGGTGCACGAATGGATGCGCTTGGACTCATCGATGATACCAGATGTAGGTACCTTCAGTGTCCAACTTTCCTGTTCTGTGTCATATTCTGAGTATAGGCGGCAACTTGTAAAGCTTTCGCTCAGAGAGCATGTCTCAAAGCCAAAACTGAATCTTAAACAACCAATGCTAATTCTGAATTTGCCGTAGCGAGAATCGAGATGAGTCCTTGGGAAAGCCGTTGGTTCGATCAGCTGGGCAACGAAATCATGAATCAACTCGTCGACGAGGTCGACCCCAATGATCCGCACTTAGGCCAAGATACACAAGACAAGCGAGACGAGCGTATGACAGAACTTAAAGAAAGCATGAAGGCTACGACATCAAGTGGTGGCTATGGTGACTACTCCTGGGACCCGGTAAGTCTCAATCTAGTCTTATTCGCCCGCTTTATTGGTGCCGTTACTGGGACACAAAGCCATTTCTAGAGCAAAATCTCTTGTTCTATCCCACTGTTCACTTCCTTAATGATTCATTCGCCCCAACACCAACCTCAAAAGGAATGCTGACCTCGAGATCGCACAGTATGAGCCTAAATTAACGGAATCCGACTGTCAAAAGCAAATCCACGCTTGGGTGGAGACTTGCAGCAGCAATTGTTCGGCTTTAATCATTGAACCAGAGAAGACAGTGGATACACCGGTCGAAGGTCTCAAGCCATACATTGAGCTCCGAGCCAACCGGGACATCGACTCCGGAGACGTGGTACTGTCCAAGCAGACGATCTCCAATGTGGCGACCAGCATCCCCGAGGAGGTGGAGGCAAAAAGACGTGCCGGTAGTTACAATGATCTCTATTGTAATGGTTGCGCGTCTTTGCTAGCTGTCCCTTTACAGTGCCCCAGCCTGTTTGTAAGGACCCAGACTCCTACGAACTCAGACATTCGCCCAGGAGCCAGTGCCGAGGAATCTTCTCACGATTTGTCAAGCGCCCATAGACCTCGGTCCTTGCCGACTCCATCATCCCCTCGTCAGGGCTTCATGTTCTGTCGTACCAACCACTTGGTGCCCACATGTTCATCCGCCTGCCGTGAGTTGACTGAGGCTTTCGACAACGGAATCTGTCGGACCAAGATTGAGCAAGGACTCCGTCAGAGCCATTTCAACGATCCAAAGCCGAGGTCAATGACCGACTGCAAGACTCAGTGTCTTCGTGACCTAATCTTTCTTCGCCACATCACCATAGCCTTAAATCTTGGCGAGAGTCCACTCAGAAGCAATGACCTCAGGTTTGCCACTTCAGGCCCCAACATGCGTGGTATAGAGGATTGCGAGGTGGAGCCGTGGTCCTTTATATCGCACGTCGTCCGCCCAATACGCTACATCCACCAACTCTTCGAGAACACAAACACGGACCAGTTCGTCAACCTCGGCATATTAGATGGCTGGATCATCAATACCCTCCTCGTCAAAATCAACAGAGCTATGCGCATCACGAAAGGCCCTCGCTACGTCAAGTGCTTCGGAGCCGACGGCATGCTCGATACCGCTTTCGGCCCGTGGGATGAGCGCTGGGAAGGACTCGCCGAGATTCTAAAAAACCAGGAAGATAAAACCCACTGGATCGCAAGCATCGATTCATTGTTCAACATGATCCGTATCGCCGACCCTGCATTGGGGGAGACTCCTAATGTCACCGTCGTTCTAAGAGAGGGAGTGAACGTCTACGCGATTGAGACGGATGCTGGGCCCGCTATCAAGGCCGGAGAGCCCCTACTGAGAGCTGCGGAAGGGCTTGAAGCACCAGCGGTGAATGAGAGGCTGCACACGGAGGATTTGCCAGGTCCAATGGAAGAGACTCACGATGGCGAAGAGGTGCATTCCGGAGACACGAGTGAATTCCTGGAAGAGTTCAGCGCCGACGGGGAGGATCTCGAGGACGAAAATGATGCGGATGAGCTGGGCGGAGAGGGGATGGAGGTGGATGGTGGGGATTTTCAGCTCTTTGATTGAGGAGTGGATTGGATCGATGGTGAGGAGGGATTGATGACTGTCGTTTCCGGCCTTTGATTAGGCAGCGTGGAGGATGAGTGACATTTCGATAGCCGCAGTCGAGGCTTTGAGACTTCAGAAGTGCGGTGCTTTGTACATTAGATCATGGTTGAATAGCATGTTATCCTCGAACAACAACTCAGAAATGGGTCGTTGACGACCTTGTATTGACGGGGCTGATACCAGCAAGGATATTCGAGTCCTACATTCGGGAGATGGAGCCTCTGGATTCAATGCTTACTCTCTCTCACGAACATTGCTTTGGGTGGTCATGGTCCGTAGCTTCTGCCAATCTATTCCAAATGCTATGTACAACAGCTAGAGATGAAGAGAGTGAGAGCTCTCCGACGAGAGATCCCCTCTTCGGCCACCCTCGTGATCCATGCTTAACGCCCTCCTTGTCAATGTTCCCACCCCCCCTAAAGTCCACTCAAGTAAAGGCCATCGTCTTCTTGATCTCCGCAATTGCCTTGCCCGGATTCAACCCCTTCGGGCACGTTCTCGAGCAGTTCAGGATCGTGTGGCATCTGTACAAGCTCATGCTATTGTCCAGCATCTCTTTCCTCTCGGCCTTGTGCTCGTCGCGGGAATCGGCGAGCCAGCGGTATGATTGCAGCAGGACGGCGGGACCGAGGTACTCTTCGCTGTTCCACCAGTAGGAGGGGCAGGATGTCGAGCAGCAGGCGCAGAGGATGCATTCGTAGAGGCCGTCGAGCTTCTTGCGGTCCTCGGGTGATTGGCGGTTTTCGAGGCCCTGGGAACCATTCATGTTAGCGTTAATTGGGACAAAGAAAGATGGTGGGGGATCTCAGAGAGAGAGTGGCAAAAGGTGCGGAGGCGTACATCTTCGGTCTTGGTGTCACGCTGCAGGTATGGCTTGATCGATTTGTATTGCTTGTAGAATTGGGTCAGGTCCGGAACGAGATCTTTGACGACGTAGGTGTGAGGTAGAGGGTAGATGCGGGCTTCGTGGGATGTGTTTGCTGGGATGCGGCCTATACACACAGCTCGTCAGCGTCCATGCTATGTGGCTAGACTTTGATGGAGACTTACATAAACAAGCCAGCGTATTGACTCCATCAATATTCATAGCACAACTCCCACAGATCCCCTCCCTACAACTCCGCCTAAATGTCAAGGTAGGATCCACCTCATTCTTGATCCGAATCAATGCATCCAGCACCATCGGCCCTGTCTTGTTCAAATCCAGCGTGTAAGATTGCATCTTAGGCTTCTCGGTGGGCGTATCAGGCGACCAGCGGTAGATGTGGAAGGTCTTTGTTCGGGCCTCCGGAGATTGAGCGGGCTCGTGGATGGTGGAGGTGTGTTTTGGGGAGACAGGCCGTTGAGTGGCAGACATGGCTTCACCAAGGTTGGAGATGGGTTCGACGGTTGCATAAGTGCGGCGGAGGAAAGGGGACAGGGTGGAAGGGCGAGTGGAGGCGAGAATGCGGGACGTGGTGGTGCGGAGGACGGCCATTGCGGATGACGGTGAGGGTGAATATAAGCCAATGGAACAGATATTATACGATGGCCTTTACTGAAGACTGGCTGCCTGTGATAACTTCGCACTTGGAGATGGGTGATTGATTGAGGGTGGTGGTGGGAGAAATGGAATGGGGAGAATGACGGCGGAGGAGAAGAGGCAAAATGCACCATTCAATCACAACCGAGGGTGAAAGATCTGCCTATTCCATTTCGGGTATAGGGTGGTATAGGGCGTAATCAAATCCCAGCGTTTCTGATTGGCTCATCGGAATCGCCCTGTGTTCTCCAATTTCAGCGCGTACTGATACTGCCATGAAACGTGAAGCGGACGCAGATGCTCTGTATGATATAGAAGGTGCCGACTTGAGCGACTACAATCTAAGAAGTGGTGTTTCGAAGAATGGAGAATCCCAAGGCTCAAGGAAATGTCCAAGAGTTCCATCTACCGGAATGGGAGACCACCGCTCGTCATCGCGGAGAAAAGCAGGTCCAGATTGGCAAGAAATCGGGTGTGAAAGAACGCGTATTCTTGGTCTTTGATCGTGTCATGCCCGGCCACAGAAAGTACTTTGGCTTCAGTAGAAAGATCGCCTGCATTGCCATTTTCGTAGGATTATTGATATTACTAGCCGTGATACTTGGTCTTGCAATTGGCCTCAGCAAGAAGTCCAGGTATGCCTCTGCCCCAGCGTAGAACTTCAAGAACTTGCTCCCTAAGTCTCTGCTCAGCAACCACCAGAATCTCCCTTTGGGATCGCAGACTTACACCGGCGATCTCACCTACTACGGCCCTGGACTAGGTGCCTGCGGCATCACTTCCTCAGACACCGACCACATTGTATCCATCAGTCACTTTACATTCGACGCTGTATCCAAAGGCTCAAATCCGAACGCCAATCCGCTGTGCGGACACAAGCTGAGAGCTGTTCGCAATGGCAACAGCATTGATTTGACCGTTGTAGATCGATGTACGGCCTGGTCTCAATCAACTTTCGCAAAAGCGACTGGCTGACTGGCTTTAGGTGTGGGCTGTCAACCTACTGACGTGGACGTCAGCCCTGGGGCTTTCAAGCAATTGGCTGATCCGAGTCTTGGACGCGTTGAAGTGACCTGGGCTTGGCTGCCCCCTGTGCCCGCAACCTGAGGAATAATGTCAGAATCCTAGAGAATCTTCAGCAGGGGGTGACGAATCCGGAAATCTGCGCGCGTTTGGCTCGGTGACCGACACACAGCAGGTGACTTGCAGTACAAGTACTCCTTGTATTCGTCAAACCGGATACCAATCTACCAAGCCTTGTCACTGTGCTACGTTCTGAATCCTGAATCTACAGTTACTTCACTTTCGGCTCAAGCTGGAAGTCAACACAACCAGCGGCGATTTTCCCGGTAGAAACGGGCGTCGCCAGCCTTTCACTCGATACAACCTGTTGGAACGACTCAACACTCGCTACCACTAGTACTCATTCGGCCTAGTCATTGATATATGAAGGCCTTCCCTGTACATAGATATCCTTCTTCCTTAGACATCATTAGGAATACCATAACTAGTGATAGGTCTCATTATAGCAGTAACTGCATACCCAGGTATTACCAACACAACCAAAGGATGGCTCCAATGCCAACAGAAGCGCTGCTTTGGAAGCTGCAAGGAAATACATATTGGAAGGATGGGAAATACCTGAAGGCTATCGATTGGTAATTCAACGGTTCTTCCATCACGAACTTTGACTGACAAAATTCAGCTACGATGAGGCTTTACGACGGGTATCGACCGAGGAACATGCCCTGGTACTCCTCTTAAACCGCTGCCAAGCCAGATTGTCGTTTCAACACTACGACGCAGCACTCGAAGACGCGAAGGCTGTGCTCGAAATCGACCCAACGAACGAGAAAGCACTCTTTAGGGCTGCTCGCGTCTCTTACGATCTAGGAAGTTTTGCTAGATGCTATTCCTATCTAGCGAAGCTGAAGAAGCACTACCCTGGAAACAAAGCTGCCGTCCAAGAGATCAAGCGGTGTGAACTTCGATCCCGAGAACAAGCTGGAGAGTTCGACTTCGAATCGATGCTAGATGAGGCAATAACCAAACAGGCATCACCGCGCTTGGATCGCGCAGCCTACATCGGACCAATTGAGGTCCGCAAATGCGCCATTGAGTCTCATGGTCGTGGGCTTTTCGCCACGAAAGCCGTAAAGGCAGGCCAGCTGCTCCTGTGCGAAAAAGCTTATGCCACCGCATTTGCTCCATATGATAGCAAGGCTGCGGCAGACATTAATCATTCCAAAGACACTAGCTCTGACGGGTCCAAGTGGAGATTAAAGCTCCGCACAGAGCTTGCTGCGAGTATATTCATCAAGTTGATTCGGAACACTAGTGTTGTTTCGGCATTTGCGGACTTGTACTCGGGTCCTGACGCTGATGAAGAGATTGATGAGGAAACCAACCTTCCTGTGGTTGACAGGTGAGGAGTCTGAACCAAGCTATTTTAGGCATCCTGCTAACAACGCCCGTAACAGTCCTTTCATTCAACATCGAATCTTCTATAATGCGTTCGCATTCCCAAGCCTTACCTACGAGTTTCACTGGAAGAGCGGCCACACCCCGGATGACCTCAAGGCCGAAGAATCAGGCTCCATCGGCGTTTGGATCTTTGCTTCTCATATCAATCATAGCTGCTATCCACTTGTACGCCGGACTTACATTGGCGACATGATGATCTTTCGAGCTCAGGCAGATATCCCAGCTGACACTGAGCTAAAATTTGGCTATATATCTTGCTTGGAGAGTTACAAGGCACGTCAAAAGATGCTCAAAAAGTGGGGTTTCCGGTGTGAGTGCCAGGTGTGCTTTGCGGAGAAAGATTATTCCCAGAAGATGGTCAGAAAGCGTGCCAAGATCACCGAAGAGATTATTGAACGTTTCGAGAGGAGCACTGCAACTGATCTTGGAGTGTATGGTCATTGCTCATCACACGGCTTCACGTCTTGGATCTGACATTTGATTAGGTACGCAAACCTTCTCGACGCTCTCGACTTTACTTACATCAACCCACCAGCCATGGAACCGCGCAAAAGCATGGTGGGCCCCATAATCAACCTCATCTCCGCCTGCCACTCCGACGGCCTCGCAACCCAAGTGATCGAGCTGACCCTTCGAATGTTGCATGCCCTTGGCTTTGAGACAGAAATCACTGCAACTTCCTTCAAGATCACGCGTTGGGGATTTATGGTTGATGAAGTGGTTGTTGCGTTGGCAGATATGTGCGATGGATATGCGGCTATCAACCCTACACTACATGAAGATGTGCTGGAGGTAGCGAAGACGGCGTACGAGATTATGTGTGGGGAGAGAGTTAGCTGGGACAAGACGTACGGGAGTGATAGGCGTGGGAAACTTGGAGGCACAGCTGGAAGGAACGAGGATATTGTGGATCGGGTGCAGGGGATGAGGTTTGTTTGAGGCAGGGAGGGATGCTTCCGCTGGCCAGTTGCGGGCAGCATCCTCATCGATAGAAGAAATCAGAAATCAGAAAGACGCGGATGCACGAGCACAGCAGTCGATCTACTCGACACACACATTTACAAGCAGTGATCATCCAAGACTCACTGAGTCGAATACAGAAATGCCAGAAATCCTTGATCATTCGCTCTAGAAGCTTCGTTTTTCTGCGGCCATTTCCAGATTCCCCACATGATACGAATACACTCTCTATATCAATGCATACATGCGCACATTGCTAGCAGCGACTGGTGCATTTTCTCCTATGTTGCGCTCCTCCGCCTTTCTATCGACGGTATGACGACTCGATGCGAATTGTACGCGATGAGAAGCGGGACGGATTTTGCTCGTTACGACTAGACCAAAAGGTGATCAGTAGTAACTTAGTCCGTCACTACACAGTAACCTATACTAGTTATCGGCTTGAAAGCGTATGACCGCTTTCCCACACATCATGATGACGAATTGTAGCCAAAAGATTATTTTTCAGTCTTCATACTTAGATAGTTGCTGTATAGTCTCAGCGGAAACTTCAGTCATCCTCCAAGAAATAGCATGGAAAAATTGTTATACTGGTTGCGCTTGTTGTGTTGTAGATTTAGAGAGAGAGCGGAGCATCGCCTCGCTCTTTCTCTTCTCTCTTCGCCTACCCCGCAGCCACAAGGCTGCATGGCCTTGCTGCAGGACCGTTAGGCATCAGTCACAGCCTCACTTCCTCATCTTAAAAGCATTGTCATCATCTCTCTTCATCAAAAATTCTTTCCTTCCTTCGATATCCATCTTGTCTTTGCGAACAGGTCGCTGTTCTCCCCGTCTACACCATGGCCGAACTTGCCGCGGCCGGCAGTGCAGTGGGCATAATTTCTCTAGCCATCACAACCTGCCAAGGTGTCCTCTCCTACTACAATTCATGGGACACCCAGGACCAGAACATCAGCCACGCGAAGGGGAGAATCGAAACACTGCGGAGCAGTCTCTCTGCCCTTGAAGAGATCCTGCCGAAGATATCGTCTTCTTCAGCGATTGCTGGCCATGTGGAGCGGTGCGTGCTCTCTTGCAAAGAGGGCACCGCGAGGCTGGAACAATTTCTGGGAAAATGTCGCAAGAATCCTGCTCCCACCAGCCTTATAGACAGACTTCGAGATTGTCGACAGAAGGCTATATTTCCTTTTCGACAGTCTTCTTTGGATAGTCTCAAAGAAATTTTGCGGGATCTCGAGGATAATCTGGGTACTGCGCTCCGGGTCTTGCAACTGTAAGTAACATCTTTGGTTCTTGCGTTTACTGCCAGATCTCCGATTTGGTCCTAACAATTGTCCAACCAGTGACACGTCCGAAGCCCAGTTCCGACGGACCTCAGACTTGGTGGATCTTACAAAGTCGACAGCCTCATCGGTTGATGGCGCTAGCCGGGGTATTTCGATTATTGACCATAAGGTGGACGTAGTCATGGGTGCCTTGCCACAAATCCAACAAGGTGTGGCTCAATTTACGTCCGATGTTCCGATGCTTCATTCTTCTATTACAAGTATGGAGCAGAGTATGGAGCGAAGACTTCAGGCCATTGAAAGGGTCACGTCCTGCATCTTGCCTGATTTCCAGACCAGGCTTGATCAGCTTCCCCTTCGGATCGAAGAAAGTCTGGCAGCATCTACCGCTTTGGCGGGCCGGACTCTATCAGTAGAGACCTCTGGCTTGAAAAGTACCAAGTCAGCCATGTCTACAACTCTCAATGACATGGTATTATCGATCGATCGATACAGGATTTTATGCCGCTGACGATCTGTCAGGATGAGGACGCGCGAAAGCTTCAACTTGCTCTGGCTCAGAGGCCCAGCATACTACGGACTGTCTGCGATGAAACGGGCGGTCTGGAGATGAATATCGAACGTATATCCACAATGATGGCGCAAAACGGAATTACACAGGACCGTTGTAAAGGGAAACGGGCCAAGCAGATACCATACTGCTCTTGCTCTACTCTGACCCGGAGAAGAGTCGCCACGTACTCGATTGGTAGCGTCGAGTTTTTCAAGACGTCCATGGAATCTTGCAAGCATTCGACTATCTGTCCTTTCTACATTGGGACTGAGGCAACCACAACAGTAGGACTCAAGATGGCATACTATGGGAGACTTTTAGCAAACACAGTTCGGGCTACTATATCCATCACGGCTGGAGCTGGTGGGTTTTCGATAAACCCTTGCTTGAACTATCGTGCTCTAGTCCCCAGGAATTCGCCAGCGTTCAGTCTTCTGAACTTAGACGAACTCATAAGGCTTCGCCGTAGCACGCCTCTATCCCAAACAAACGAAGTCTGCGAGTATTTCGAAAGTATTTTGCAACAACTCTACGAGTTGTTCAAGGATAAGGTAGCGTCACCAACCGATATAGACGAGGACGGACAGACTTTGCTCACTGTAATATCAGCACCTAACTGGGAAAAGGCTTCTCGCTGACACCTGCGTATAGAAACTCTGCGACTGCCTTTTTGAGCGATTGGAGCATAATACTGAGGGCTTTCGTATTCTATTCATGGGACTTCTCGCTGCTGGGGTCCCTCTAAACGAAACGGATAGTGAGGGAGGGTAAGTCAAATCAAAAATATTATAAGCGATGACAATTGTCTTAACTGAAATTCTGCATACTTTAGAACTGTTCTAGACTCCTTAGCACATTATGTCATATTGACTAGTCAGGAGATAAGAACCGACCGGAATTACGCTGAATTGGCGTTCGAGGCTGGCGCAGAACTATCGGATTCCTGGGTTCGGGATTATTGTTACTTGTACACTCTGGCAGATACTTATGCAACACGTTTAGAAATAACGATCAAATTTGACAAATGGATGGACGGTAATACTGCTTTGACAATCTTTTCTTTCAACTGTGACTAACGGATAGCAGATTCTGAATGCGGTGCACTCAGTGCCGCTATCCTCTGTCGCTCGGAAAGGAACACTGAACAAATTTTGCACAAATCCCCAGCAAGCATCCATGAGCGGAACTCACAAGGCCAGTCTCCTCTTCACCTTTCTTGCACTTGGCCGAAAGGTGTCATTCTGTTGCTTCGTTGTGGTGGCAGTGAAATAATCGACCAAACGGACCACCAAGGATATCTTCCTTTATCGTATGCCTGTGCAAGTAATTGTCTAGAAGCAGTGAAGCTGATGTTGGAGGCTGACAGCGCTCTATATTCTCTAAGCGGGTCTGATGATTGGCTAAGCTGGCTAAGCTGGCTAAGCTGGTCTTGATGATTGGTCTCGTAGGAGCACTGATGAGATAATCAGTCAATTGCAAACTGCACTAGTGGACCGGAGGAGCCGCCTGTACTCCTTAGCCACCACCAAGCTGTGTCGCAAAGATCTGGAGGAACTGAGAATTACTGACGATCGCATTCTTGACGAGAAGGCCTTTGATGTCTACAAAGCTCTTGCGCATAGAAATGTTCCCATTCCATCGGCACTGCGCCCTCCTTTGTACCGAACCACGTTGTTCCACAACACTGGCCTCTTCCCAGCCCTTGGTGATTCGCTTTATGGAAGAGGATTCATTGATGTGGATGGCATCGACGATGAGGGTCGCACTCCGTTGATGAGAATGCCAATCGCATATTTTTGGGGACTGGAGACTGCTCTGCAGCGCTCTGTGTGGCTGATATCAAAAGGAGCCGATCCCGGACGCAACCCTAACCTATGTGAAGGCATGCGGTGTGATCCGAGTACCACTGCAACTCATTACATATGTTCTTGGGTTGGTGGAAATGTGTATTCGCTGGTTGATTCGGAGCACAAGGATGAGATTAGGTGGGTTTCACCTGAGATAAAACGCACGTGGCTCTTTGGTACCTTGGACAAACTTGACGATAAATGTCAGTCGCTTTTGAGGGGATGTTTTCATTCAAAGCTCGATGACGACTGTCTCTGTTCCTGCTCAAGCCACGGCTGTACTCCCGCGGTAATGATGCTGAAAGGCATTACGTACTGGCTTTGTTCGGGAACCACTTCTGTCTCATTGAGGGGCGCTTATGGGTGATCGAATGGATGATTACTACCCTGGGCCATCGCCATGAGGCATGGCGGTGGTTGACATGCGAAATCATTCGATATGAAACCTTTGAAAAGCTTGGACTCACACATACATGCTGCAAGGTTGATCATGAAGGTTATGGTATGCCTACTGCCAATGATACTTCGGAGAGTGCAGAGATCCGTGACGAGGAGCGCTTGTTGCTCAGCAAATTGGACACCCTGGTCGCAGAATTTCAGGAGAAATACACCGAGCTTGGAGTAACGGTGCTGGAATTCTTGCGGGGATACTGGAAGGCTAGAATGGAGGAGGTTGAGAGAGAGGAAGAACCCCTGGATGACGAGGAGATTGCTAAGATCAGGGACTTGGGCGTCATCATACACCCTTGACTCGACTGAGGAGGGCGTGTCGTTTCGAGGAATGTGCGTTTCTAATATGTATGGAAGTTGGGCGTTGAATGAATGACGATATCATGTTCTATACAGCGAATTTGAAAGTGAAATGATACATCTGCTGCTTTGTAACGTATGCGCGGAGAGTCATGTCGCTACGACTGTTCACGAGTTTTCTCAGGGTCGACCTTGGCTACTTGATCCTCCAACGTGTCTCCACACTGAAAACATACGGAAAACGTGCATAATTGTCTACATGCAACTCGAACGAGAAACAATCCTCCGCTCCTTCTTCCATCCTCCCCAAAACAATCCCATCCCATCAAGGCAACAACCACAATAACTACCAGGCCGCGTCGAGACACGCAGCGAAGCTCATGACGGATCGCCGGACTCTGAGCCGGTGGTTCTGTACCGGTGGGGGATGTCTCTCGGAGAGGCTATGAGAGCATGGAAGCAGCATCGGCGATGCAAAAGGGGCAGGGGGAGATGGGATGATATGGTCCCTGTTTTTGCGGGCGGCTGGCTTTTGGGGAGGTATAAGGTATTGTCTTGGTTGATGGATGGATGCGTGCGTGCGTTTGGGTTGTCATGTTGGTGGGAGATGGATGGGAGGGGGGTGGGGGGATGACGGGATGATGGAGGAAAGAAAGCGATAGCGCTGACGTGTCTCGGTCTTTAGTGTTTTCGGTGCCGGTTCTACAGCTTTGTTGCGGCGCTACTGGATTAGACCCACTCTCGTTTCTATCTTCATCATCTCTGGTGGGTGAAGTGGCGGATGCGACGTTGGGCATCTGGAGTCGTGAACGGTGGTGTGGTGTGTCATGATTTGGCTTGGTCTGGTATGGTTCGAGGATTTTTACTTGTAGGTGCTATACTACGTCTGATTTATCTACATCGCTCCGGCAAAGTGCAGACTGTTGCCGGTTTTGCTCCGCAGCCTAGTCTAAGTCGCTGTAAGCCATTGGAGTCTCGTTTGCGGCCGATTGAGGGTTGGGATTGTCGCTGCACGCGCTGGGGTTCATGCCTTGAAAAATGGTTCGCAGCTTGCGTGTCTCAGAAGTCGACGTCCTTCTGTAGCTCAAGCGTGATGCGGCTTTTCTTGTCGCGCTGGCTCTTCGCCCTTCTTTCGCAATATGTTTTCGGAAGTTCAGCACACTCGGCGCATCGATTTTGGCGCACGGTATTCACTGGGTGTCGAGGAAGATTTGCAACCCGAAAAGCTACCTGTAAATGAATGGGTTTGTCCGAGGAGACTTCCATGATTCCACGGGTCAGTTCATCCTCTGGTGGCGGTGAACTGGCAGCCCTAAATGGACATGATCCCTTTCAAAGAATCCGTGAAGTATGATGATAGCCGAGGTTGAAAGGGAGAGTTGATGTCGCCATGACCTTCACCTCTTCAAGAATTCGTATCCACACTTTTATGGGATAGAGCGCGGTGTGTCTGTCTTGATGTTTAGCAGGAAAGTCTCGTGTTGCGGACTGGCGATGACTTACGACGATTCTTCCGCTCGTTTTTTTTGTGTGGAAAAATCCCGATTCAAGTGCAGTCGAAGCAACGGATACATGACACCATAGCACCAAGCATTCTCATCTTGGGCATAACCAGTCGTGTTTCTCTTCATTTGCTGTGCGGGTCTTGTTTCCCTCGCAGGCTTTCCGTCTGTTTTTTTTTGCGTCGCGAGCGTTCCGTTGAGCCCAAAGACGTTGCCAGGTTGTTCGGGACGGCTTTTACGGCGACGATCGAAATCCTTTTCATTTCAACGTGCTCCACAGGCGTTTGAACCGCTCGAGTGGTTCTGTTTCTCCTGTAAGGGAATCTAGCGGCGTTCAATCGAGGACGAGATGCTGGAGAGCTGTCGCACTGTGCGAAGTTTTGTCCGGTTTGAACCGGAACACACCGTTGGGAAAGGGGCTTTGGTGACGGTCAGTCTTGAATAGGGTTTTCAAAGCCAGATAAACGTCCGTGCAAGAGCTTCTCAGCGTATGTTTGGCTTTGCAACCGCCCGACACGCTGATGTATGTCTCCGATGCTTTGGAAATCCCTTCTTTAAATTGATGATCATTTACAAGTCCGTGAATTTGACTTTCGATTTCGAAGCCTCTACATTCCTCTTCTTCTGCCAATCTTCTCCCAGCGCTTCGTGGCTCCATTGCAAGAGTTCCAACCGGTGTAAATGGCCTGGGCAATTGATACCACGAGTCTTCTAGTGAGACGTGGCCAATCGACGGCGACTTGTGCGAATTCGCTCTTGCAGGTACTGCCTGTTGCTTCGAATTTCGAAACCTTCGTGTGATGTTTTCGCCTAGATTCGAAGTCAGTGCCGTCATCGCAGAAGAATACCTGAGAGGAGATTTACCCAGCAGATATTGCGTATCAAGAGAGAGCTGTGGCCCAAAGACGACCCAAAGATGTTGGAAATCGCATCTTTGAACTCGGAAAACCTAGCGGCTGTATAGTCATATATCTCATTCCGAGCGGTTCTTTCAATCCGCGGGCCCAATCCTGCATAGGTAGATCTTCGTCGTGCCTGAGCCTTGCTACCCCGCAAAAGAGCTCACTGAGTATGACTACTTCGGAGTACCAGCTATCTTGGGTGGGTGGCTGAAGATCGTATACTATCGTTGTCGAACGGTATAACGATAACTGGATAGAACTCTGATAGCAATCCAAACTTGACACGTAGATACTCATGTCCTGGCTCAGTCGGGTGGGTGTGGAAATGTGTTGCGGTCACAGAAGCCGCTTGTTCTTCGAGGTATGCCAAAGGCACGATAATTGCCATACCACTGGAAGCCAACCTCTCCAGACGTGGCGCCGGAGCGGGATGCGCTCGCGTGAACTCCTTCTGTCCTTGTTATACCAGGCTGGCACTGATCTGGCCTCGGTATGCCTTGGAACATTTCTAGCGTTTTCTCATGAACCCGAACTTCGCGCTGCTGAGGCACGTTACAAATGTCATGTCCGTACATACGTGCTCTTCTGCAACTTTCGTCACGTCCCCTTCGCCCGCGATTAGGGCCAGCATCTCGATGAGAGTCTCGGGGTCGTCGTTATCTGGCACTCGCTTCTTTCCCTTGTTCTTGGAGCTTGAGCCCACGTTTTCGTCGTCCTTGTGCTCATCATCCTGATCCCCTCCTCGTCCCCATCCACAGGATTTTGCTAACCTTTTTAATCTCCAGAACACTCCTCCCAACTCCTCATCCTCCGATCTCTCACCACTGTCAAATTCTCCACCATCGCCCAAGTTGAACTTGACAGAGGCTATCAGCGTGTTCGATGCAATCGAAGAGGTGTGCATGCGCTGTCTTTGTAGGTAGCGCATGTCCAGTCTCCGATGGCAGCGACACGAGCAGGCAGTTCCCGTTCCGTACCAGCTTCTTTCTGTGACGGAGCCTTAGGAATTGAGCCGTTTGCACGACCACATGTTATCAAAGCGGGCGTCGCAAGATCCAGGATCGTGCTACTCATGTCAGCTATATACCCTAGCACATGCCAGTCAGGATGTCTCATACCCTCCCAAGCGCGCAAGGCGCCGCGAACATTATCGCTAGAGGCGGCCGCAGTAAGGATAGCTGCTTGGTGGTGGGGGGGGGGAGGAATCGGCTACGTAGGGGTGACCCTGCGGGAGCATCGCCCGCACTTACGCTGGCGCGAGCCAGCAGACGGAGCGGTGCAGGCCGCGCGAGGGTTACGCGCGAGGGCACGCTCGATGGCACGACGCACACAACGACAACAATTTCCGTTGTAGAAGCGCGGACAATGTCTACAAGATCGGCGGCCATGGCTCCGTGTTCCAGGAGAGTCATACGATCCGCCCGCCTTGCCGCTGACCCATCCACCATTCTGTCGTCCCGATGCGAAGCGGTCGCCGTTCGTGGTCCAGCTTGGATTTGTGGAGCTGGCGAAAATATCATAATGGTAGTTGACCTCCCCAGCATTCATATTCCCGATGACGATCTGTTGGAGACAGCTGCTTTTGCTTTGCTGGATGTGTGCAAATAAGAAGTTTTTGGCTGAGCTTCCTGTGGCCATCAGATGGTTATTGCGGTAGGCAAAGACTGCTTTTTGGTGTTGCTCTGTGAAAGATGTCGCCGCGTCCATAGAGATCAATTAGCTTCTCCATGTCGGACCAACGAGTCGGAAGGTAGCTTTCGTTCCTCGCAGCATTGTACAAGTGCGCTGCAGAGACAGCATATAGCGACCTGTTCGTTCTTTTGAATCGTAAAGGCTGAGGGCAGCGACTATGTGCACCGATCTGCATCGAGTCAGACATGGGTCAAGCAACCAATCAAGGACGCTGTTGAAGTGTCTGTGACTCTTGTTGTTTTGATCTTAGGATGGATAAATCATGCTTTGACTCTGTTACGAGTCAGAAAATCGCCCTCGAGACGCGATTGCCCGAGGAAGGTCTTCCAGCTTCGTGGCTGGAGTGGGTGTAGGAAATACTTCCACGACTAGCCGTGCAAACGGGACGATGTCGTTCACGTCGATCATATAGCCAGGTCCAGTAGCTGGTATTGAGGTTGATGATATGCCCCCTCTCCTGGGTGGTCTTATATCACCTACCAGAGGCGTCAACATCTCGTGGACTAGTACACTGCTGGTGAATACTCACGTTTTGCTCCTTCTTTGATCAACCACGACAAGACCGACGCGGTCTGGGCCTAGTACAGCCCGCACCCGCAACATCCTTACTTCCAGAGCCGACGCTCGTTCCCTTTAGCTTTGCATCCATCTCGCCCTCTTTCTCTGCAGTCAGGAGAGAAGCGAAGGAGCTCAACATGACGGCAGCTTCGATGGGAGTAATGCACTGTCTTATTGTACAGCACCCAGAGTTTTCACAACCAGAATAATTGCATTTGATGGCCTTTGAAGTATGCTTTATGAAGTGAAGCCGAGTTCACACTGGCGTGTAGCGGCGTTGGTTGTTCTTGCAATCGACATGACGACATCGGACTCCATTGGACTCATTGTGCATATTCCGGACACGATTTTCAAGGCTCAGTGCCTATGTGCTGCAGTGCCATTTCCCAGAGCTTTTTGCTGTGCCGGTGATACTGTGAGCAAAAGTTGAGACTGCCAAAAGCCGACGAGAAAGACTCAGAGAAGCAATGGCTGTGAGGTGCAGTTCTGCGAAACTATTCAGCACGGGCTTTTGCAGGTGTGTGATACGAGGGATCCCGCGAGACGAATGGAAGATGAAAAAGGTTCCTTTAGAGAAGGCTGCAGTGTTCCCTGTGTAACAGATGAAACCATATGCATACCGTTCGCAAGTCAGACAGGCGCTACTCTGCGGCTCGACGGTGTTCATAATCCTCGCTTGCAGCGGTGGAGGCATGCCCGTGGTGATATATATGTATGACGGCGAGGCGGGCGGAGCGCCCAGCAGCTACTCATGTCAGCTATATACCCTCGCACATGCCAGTCAGGATTTCTCGTACCTTCCCCGGCGCGCAAGGCGCCGCGGACATCACCGCCAGAGGCGGCCGCAGCAAAGACAGCTACTTGAAGGCGGGGGGGGCGGATCGACCACGCAGAGGTGACCCCCGTGGGAGCACCGCTCGCACTTACGCCGGCGCGAGCCAGCAGGTGGAGCGGCGCAGGTCGCGCGAGGGCACGCACGCAGCGCATGCAGGCGGGGCCTTAGCACATGTCAACGCAACCTCTCAATCATCTAGCATCTCTTCCACTCACGGGGGGGGCGACAGGCACGACAACAGCCACAGCTATATCTATGAGCCACAGGTCTCGCATTGCTATGCATCAACCTACCAATTTGGTGGCCCGCAGGGCCGCGCAGACGGGGGTTGGATTGGAGAGACACTATCAACATGTCAGCATGCTCCTTATGCTGTCCGGAAAGCATCGCAAAGCATCCTTTAAGGTGCTTGTTGTGTGTGAAGTTGCTCTAGCTGAGCGACTTCAACCTCACTCAACTGTCACCTCAACCGATGCATGTGCCATGCTGTTGCAATGATGCGCAGCCCGCTGTCGCGATACTGCGATGAGAGCAAGAGATCAACTCACACCTAGTGGATTGGTCTCGGATTGGAGTAGATAGTGGCCATATTTGGCGTTTTCCCACCACAGACCATTGCCATCTGAGACTGACCGAGGAAGAAATCCAGAAACACCTTCCTAACATTTTCACACTCCTCGATGCCTGGAAAAACACCACCACCACTATTTTTCACATAAACGACTTCGAAGGCCACTCGACGCCTGATCTTGAATCTTTCATTGGCGATTTTCACGGGCTTTTCTCTGGCGATACGCTCGGGACGAGCTTTTCTCCGAGGGGGGAAGATGTTATGTGTTTGTATTCGAGCTTTCGATCGATGATGTTACTGAAAAATGGTGGAAGGGCCGCTACTTTGGCGGCAATGTCTGTTTGCGAAGAGTTCATGTGTTGGTGAGCGTCAGATAATGTGAGGTAAGCTGAATGAAAGTGATGTAGATGAAAAGTAGTAGTCTTTTAGAACAAAGAGCTATTTCATGTACCGCTACTAGAGCCGTGGCACTCGCGTGGTAATGATCCAGAGCCGTAAGCAGTCTTGATTGATGAAGAAGAAGAGTGGGAGGTTAATAAGGTGCTAGATAAAAGAGTTGGCAAAGGCGAGACTAAGTACCTTATTGACTGAAAAGACTCCCCATCTTACGAAGCTTCGTGGGAATTAATAAAGTACCTCGAAAATGCTAAAGGCGTAATCAAGGACTTCGAGCGAGCAAAGGAGTTATATAAATCAGTACCCAAGACAAAGCCAAAGGCGTAATCGTCAAGGGGGATTTAAGAAGCGAGGTAAACCACGGAAGTAATAGTAGTAGAGGGGCCTGAATAGGTAAATAAATTATGGTCAAAAGGCCCAGTGAAAACGACTAAGAAGCCCGCAGGTATATCCTAACGCGCCGAAGCGCCACGCATCACAAGAACAGTGGCCGCAAGGGCCGCACACACCACCACCACTGTCTAGCATTAGCCTACCTGTCCTCTCAAGCTGGAAAGCAACCTCTTACCAAGAAGACCCACCAAACGGCGGGAGGGCTCAGCAGCAGGGGCAGCGAGAAGGGCAGCGATAGGGGCAGCGAGAAGGGCAGCGGCGGGAGCAGGGGCGGCGGCGCGACGGGCAGCTACGCATGTCAGCTATACACCCTAACACATGCCAGTCAGGATGTCTCGTACCGTCCTAAGCGCGTAAGGCGCAGCGAACATCCTCGCTAGAGGCGGCCGCAGTAAGGATAGCTGCTTAATGATGGGGGGGACCCCCGCGGGAGCACCGTCCGCACTTATACTGACGCGAGCCAGCAGGCGGAGCGGCGTAGATTGCACGAGGGTCGCGCGTAAGGGCACGCACGCAGCGCAAGCACGCGGGGCCTTAGCACATGTCAGCGCAACCTCTCAAGTACCTGACATCTCTTCCACTCACGGGAGGGGACGGGAGCAACGGCGAGAGGAGCTGTCAAGCCATCTTAGCCAAGCACGTCTTTAAAGCAGAGGTGAATGCCTACCAGCAGCAGCGGGGGCAACAGGGACGACGACAGCCACAGCTACTTGGTGGCCCGCAGGGCCACGCAGACGATGAAATGAAGCCAGAGCAGAATGCTGTTAGTCTAAGGCAAGGTTTGTACGTGTGTTGGTGGGTGAAAAGAACAAAAGTGTGGTGGTGATTAATAAGTGAATGTGGGTTTGAATCCGCGCCCGGAAATAAGGTTTTAAATCCTCGCTTCCCAAGTGACTTGATCTACACTTGTGATATATATGTATGACATGAAAAGCAAACTTGATTGCAGCACGAGTTTAAGCATCGCTCATAGCAGGAGGATATCTGGAAGATATATTCATAGAAATGAAATCCATACAAGCAAGCTCGCATTTAGTTTCTAAGGCACCAACCGCAACTAGCACCAAAGACGACGTGATTCTTCAAACAGGGCAACAGTCGACGTGCGAGCGTCAAGATATGACACGGCCTTTGCAGCAAACAAGAAGAAAAACGAGTGGCTATGAGTGGCTTGAGATGTAGTTGGTGGTAGTACATGGTAGATGCATTGTCAAGAGAGATATGTAGGAAGGATGGTTCTGTTAGAGATTGGGGGTTTAAATACTTTAGGATGCTCTTCAGCATTCACAGGGAGGTAGTGAAGGCCGCAACAATTCACGAGACGCTAAGTGACTCATGGACTCATACAGTCTGTGAATTGCTGGAGTGAACATGGAGACTCATGTACTGCAGTCGATGAATTGCTAGAGTGAACATAGAGAAGTGACTTTGAAAAGCAATGAATGGTGTCCAGGCATGACTTAGCTGTGTCACCTCATGAGGTCCCTAACTTGTGAGGCAGTGCTTATTCCATTGCGGTGAAGATATCTTACTCAGCTTGTGGTAGCGACATTACGATAGATCAATGAATTGGATAGCTAGGGTACGTTATTGTCTCCTCTAGTCGACTTTTCGGACTTGTAACTTTGAGCTCAACGTCAACAGTGCCCAACGTATTCACCAATGTAGCATGCCAAACTCACGGCACAAACAGAGACCGATTTGAAACGCGAATTTTGTGCCATAATCGGGCAAGGTTCTTGTAACTGTATCAGCACGGTCAACGGCAAGAAGTAGAAAGGTACCATACACTCAGTCCTCGGCATAAACCACCTTGCAATAAGGTTCTCAGCCCTGCCCATCAGACCACTCTCGAACGGCTTGAACATCGTGGCACTTAATACTCTTTGCCCAATCCGAGAGATACGTCTTCATGTTCGGAAAAGTATTAGAACAGAATGGGCACTCTGCACGGTCTTTGGAATCAGAGGCCTCCTCGGCCGCATCCTCTGCTCTTTGCTATTTGCCCAAAGTCGAAGAGATGCTGCTGGATAGGCGTCACAGCAGATTCTTAGGAATGGCATGCACGAAGGAGT